ATTCTATCCTAGTTAGGATACGTAGGCAGAGGACGCGATGTCTTTGCGAGCAAACATAGAAACAATCTTAGGTCTTCATCTATCATAACCTTCACCTTTTTACCCAATACCCAAACCTTAGCAAATATTTAACAAACTTAGCATACAAACAAACAAAAGGTTCCTGTAGAGTACTACAGATGTTTAGGATGTGAAATACCTACCCTATGCATAACCAACCCCCGATCCCCGAATCTCTTAGCGTTGTTGTAACATCGCGCAAAAGGTTCTTTCTTTCTTTAGACCTTTCCTTTGGATAAATTAAAGTTCAGTTGTAAAAGAATTAAGGTTCAAGTTAATTCAATAGCTTGATATCTGATTTTCACCGCAACAGAAGTGGCGACTTCACTGGGGAAGATTGCTTAAAACTTGAGGGTTTAGCCTATTTTGTTTAATTGCATGCTATATTTGTAAATATTTGCTTAACATGTATATTTGTCAATATATTTGTTTGTATGTTGGGTATTGGGTGCTTTGAGTGGTGAGACGGTCCTATACCCGGACTTGAGTGAAATTATGATAGGATGGTGGTATATTCAAGAAGGCTTATAGGGAGTTGATTCCCTACCAAGCTAACTTGAGAAACCACCGCTCAGTGTAGGCCCTCTTGAAAGTTTTAGTATTGTTGATCGAGTATTCGTGAAAATAATGCTACTTTCAACGAAGGAGCCCATGACACTGTGAACTTTTAGAATACATTCTACCCCACTTTGGCCTTATTAGGACGTAGTGCGATGGCTATAAGGAAGTATTTCCGAAGTAGTTGATACGCGATACTACACTCAGATGAGATTCTCTTGAGAATATTATCGATTACCAAGTAATTTGGGAAATTGATAATATTTGAAAGATGGGTTGATGACTCTGGGAACTTTATAGAACATGTTCGGCAGGTACAAATTAACCCATAGCACAAATCCTTGGGGATGGGTAAACCTCTGACTCCTTGCTTTGATCTTGATCCTAGGATGTCTTTGTATATGCATTGTATTTGTGAATACTTGCCTTTGTGTTATGTGTGCATCATCACATTATATCACCATAAGCATATCATTTCGCAACTAGTTTTGTAAAACTCAGTCGATCTCTGGTATTTTTTTAAAAAAAAGTTGTAACTTTTTCAACGATCAATGAAATGAGGGTTTTAACCTAATCAAACTTCTGAGTTTTGTAAAACCAGTTGCGTTTTTGCACTTGCATCAACATTTTATATATCATACTTCGTTGCATTGGTCTTTTTGGTTCATTCTGTATTCTGTTGACATCAGAGGGGGATACCTAGCACATATCCGAGACAAATAGGCAACAATGGAAGGACTTTTGAAAGCTCAGGAAATGCTGAAAGAGGACATCAGAATTCTCAAGTGTCAGATGAATTGGGTGCTTGAGACATGGCAGAATATGATGAAGAAAGAGGGTCACTCTGACCATGTTACGTCCAGAGAAACTAGGGATGCATTATCTCCGATGGTTCCTCCAACTCAAGGACATCCTCGGCATCAACGAACAAATAACCGTCAATCGCGTTAATACGCGCAACATTCAGTGTTTGTTCCTCCTCAAGCTTCTCAAAGCTGGAAATTGAACAAGAAGGATCATGTCAAGAAAAATAAGACTTGCGGTAGACAAACTTCAGTACCGTTAAGCAAACTTTACCCTCTACTGATTCAGAACTCACTAGTGACTCCACGATTATCTAATCCTGTGCTAGGACCATGGCATAATGCGAACCTGAACTGTGAATTTCACAAAGGAGCTGAAGGACATAACTTGGATGCATGTATAACATTGAGTTATCTTGTGCAAGAGCTAATCATTGACAAACTCTTGATCCTCGAGGAAGACCATCCGAGAGTGGAATGTGGATATCATACTTGGACAACAGGGCACCTAGTTGAAGAGTGTGAAAGTTTTAAACTGAGACTCCAAGAGCTGCTGAAACTTCAGGAGGATAAATCAAATGACTGTGCAATAACCTAATATTACTTCTTTGAACACAAGAGCTGCTGAATCTCTTTTAAAGAATGGTATTCACACTTCCCAATGAAGATAAGCATAATTACTTCTTTCGCATTAATGTGTATTTACCATTGAATGTCATAGAAGAATCAAGGGTTGTCAATTTAGTGTACCAATTTAACCTTTGAGAATATTCATGCAAGTTATTCCTCCAACTTTGGTTAAAAAGCTAGAGTTAGTAAGTATTGTATTGCTCAAAATGTAAACTAATCTTATTCAATGCAACATCAATAACTTCAATGTAACTTATTGGTCGCAGAAACAAAATAAACTTTAATTTTTCTTATTTACAACTGTTTGGTTTGAATTAGTGCTTCATAAGTTGTAATAAAAGTAAAAAAAATGTTTCATAGACATCAAAAATTCCAAATGAAAAACTACCAATAACCTAATATTTGAACACAAAACAAAGAACTGCATACTAGATGGTCCAAACCTTGGTAGAGATAGGCGAATGGATGTGAAACATTGTACGATGGAAATCTGTATAAGCATTTGAATGGGCTTATGCTCCTAAAAGCTTCTCGCATTTTTTACTTCCCAAGAAAGCAACATGTTCAATCATATGTGCAATTTCTTAAAGAGATTTGAAATTAACAACAAGAGTCTCTTATCGAAACGACTTTGGAGTCGAGAGCAAGTGCTCGTTGGCAAAGTAGATGTTCATGCATTTGGTGAACGAGATAAAGACTGGTAATAAGGTGCTGAAGATTGTTAGTTTGTTCAAACCAAAGATCATACACACCCACTGGTATCGGCTAGAAAGCGATTGAGTTTAACCCAATTATGATGGAACTTATCAGAGTTTAGTGTCATTCCTGGGTGTGAAGGTTTTTTCAGAGATTCTTTAGGAAATCAGGTTAAGGGATGTGCAAAAAATTAGATTATGTGATGCTTTCGTTGCTTAAATGTTGGCAATGTTGCATGGACTAAAGATAACTTGACAAGAGAGAATCACAAATATTATGGTCAATAATGACTAAAGTTTTGGTGGATTCGATTAGTCAAGAAAATGTGAAGGATAACAATTTCCAAATTTCCAAAACTTAGTATGTATGATTAGAAAAATTATTCATTGAGAAATTAAATTATCCATATATGTTGTGAAATAAATAAATGTGCTCATTAGATAATCAATTATAGTCTTATTTGAACAATGAGTTCTTTAATCTTTTAACAATCCTAACAAATAATTTAAAATCAATTTTAATTGATGATAATAATGGAGTCATTTTTCTTAAACAAGTAATAAGTTCTTTTTAATAAACTTTTATTAGGCCAATCGAACTTTTTTTATCAAATAAAAAGAATTAAAGTTTAATTTCATTCAAATATAAGTTTTCTATTTTACAATTTATATTTTTTTAATAATTTATTAAATTAAATAATAAATAAATAAAATTGATTAATAATCTCTAACTTCAAAGTTTATTATTTCTTAAATTCGAGAGAACGTTGTGAAAGACCAACCCATAATTTCATTCACCAAAACCAAAATTGTCTTCAAGAAGACATATATTATATATAACTTTTTTCTAAAAAAAAAAATTAATGCCCTCGGCCATTTAATTAAATTTCGAAAAAGAATACTATAAAAAATACAGATTTAAAAAAAAGACTCTTAAAAAAAATTTCCCTTACAAATTTTTTCATAAATCCTTTTTAAAAATATCATCAAATGGCAGAGGGAAAAAAATTAAAAATCATCTCATCAAATAGGTTGGTAATATGTTTAAAAAGCCCTGTATATTTATTTAATCCAAAAAAAAAAAACCACTTTAATTCTTAAAAAGAATCCCTTAAAAATGTTGTTCGTTTTACACTTTTACTCTGAGTTTTACCTAGGTTAGAAAACATACCTAGAAAGTTGATAGAAAGAAGAAATTGAGTCCCAATCAAGTCTCATAGCTCGTTTCACGATCCAAAATTTCTTCAATTTTTCACCATCCTCCTTCACCTATCTTCGTACGCTATGATTCCCTTTCTTCTCTTTCAATTTTCATCTTAATTTTTATTTGAAAAAATTATATTTTTTCTCCCAATTTTTCGTCGTTTTCCTCTTAAAAATTCTTAGCCTTTTTCCATCAACGTTGGTTTTACACGCTTTGAAAACAATTTCAATTGGGTTTCTCCGCAAGATTCCTTTTTTGGGTTTCGTTAATCCTTCAATTTTTTCCGGTTATCTTTGAAGCTCTTATGAATTTTCAATATGTGTGATTGTATCATTGATTCTGGGCATCGATTTTGTGTCTGTGTAATGCGTTTCCTTTACCTTTATGATGATTATGTTGATTTGGGGATTAATGAGGGCATGTTAATAACTGATGAAGGATGGTAATGTTAATAATTGATTGATTATTCATTGGTAGAATACAAGTTTTTTATGATGTCAATAAAGTTTGAACTTTTACCGGTATTAAGGAGATGTTGCTCCAATTAGAGCACTACATGGAATGCTACAAGGTTTGGCAAAATGCAACCTACATGATTATGTTGTTGGATAATTTTATCTGAATTTAACTTGTTTTGGGCTTAGGGGGTCTTGTAGGAGAGGGATGATCATCAGGTACGACTGCTAGTCAAAGGGGGATTCGAATCTGTGTGCGTGCAGAACCAGAAGTTTTATTTAGATTAGATCCCTTTGACCGGTTGCTATATTGGCAGTTTCCCTAGTTTTTATCATCCAATGTGTGTATTTTATGAATCGAAAATGCAGGTTATGATGTCATTTTAGGGTGGCTGAAGAATATGTTAGCTTAGCTTAAGAAGTATTTATTGCCTTTTGTTCTTAGAGATATCTTTATGCTGTTGGATTATGGATGAATCATAATGAGCTTTTGTTTTTGGGTGTTTGTTTCAATGTTCCCCTTTTACCTTGCAGATATTTGCGCAAACTTGCTTTGCTTCTATGAGCCAAATCGTATGTTTTATGTGGCTTCATAATGGTATTGAAGGATTTCTGCGAGAGGATTGTTGCTGCAAAATGTTCTTCTAAAAGCTCAACCGAGGCTGTAGATAGTACTCAGGTGCCCGCCTCATCGAAGGCAGGGTCTAGTGATAGTAAGTTTCCCAAGGCTTCCTTATGGTCAACCTTCTTTACATCTGGTTTTTCAGTCGATGAAACATATAGTGAATCATCATCTTCTGAAAAGAAAGCAGTTCATTCTCGAAATAGTGGGTGGGCAGCTGCTGTGAGAAGAGTCATTAGTGGCGGCTCAATGAGAAGATTTCAGGAGCGTGTACTAGGTTCAAGCAGGACTGACGTTTCGAGCTCTGATGGAGATATATGGCTTCTAGGTGTCTGCCATAAAATTCCACCGCATGAATCAACCGGAGAAGTAGATACTCGTAATGTGTTTGCAGAATTTGAGCAAGATTTTTTCTCAAAAATATTAATAACTTACCGGAAAGGTCTGTTAAATGTATACTTACTTTAAATGCGTTGCTTAGATTATAGATAGTAGACTAACAAGTTTTAATATATCTACCTTATAGGTTTTGATGCAATTGAAGATTCAAAGTATACAAGTGATGTTAATTGGGGCTGTATGCTTCGAAGTAGTCAGATGCTTGTTGCTCAGGTATTACGCTTTCTATTTAATGTTTGTTTATCGACAGTTTTTGTCACATTGTACCTTAAAATTCCCCCCTTCCCTTTCAAAACAACACTACTAACACTACTTCCTCATATGCAGGCATTAATTTTTCATAAATTAGGTAGATCGTGGAGAAAAACTACTGATAAGGTCAGGTGATTGATATGCAATCTGTCAGTAATTAGATTGTTCTTTTTATACCTTTCTTTTCGTGTTAGCATCTTTATATGATCTGCTTTGTGTTGAGATATAACACCACTAGGTTCACTCATTATTGTGTTTTTCTTTAAATTTTATTTTATGAAATTGTGTTTTTAAATTTACAGCCAGTTGATAAAGAATATATTGACATCTTGCAACTATTTGGTGATTCGGAGGCTGCTGCTTTCTCTATCCACAATCTTCTTCAAGCTGGTAAAGGTTATGGTCTAGCTGTTGGGTCATGGGTGGGACCATATGCAATGTGTCGTACATGGGAAGTTCTAGCTCGAAACCAGAGGGAGAAGAATGATCAAGGAGAAAAGCCACTTCCAATGGCTATTTATGTTGTTTCTGGAGATGAAGATGGGGAGCGGGGTGGAGCACCTGTTGTCTGCATTGATGATGCCTCCAAACATTGTTCTGAGTTTTCAAAAGGCTTAGCCGCTTGGACACCTATACTTTTATTGGTTCCTTTGGTTCTTGGACTTGATAAAGTCAATCTAAGGTGTGTAACATTTTCAATGTTCTATGCTACCAAACAATTGATTCACATTCAAACCTTTCTATAGTACTATATTCGGTTTATATACCGGTCTATTTAGATTCTTTTCCATAATAGAAGTGGTAATCCATAAATATATTTTGAAAGTTGTCAATTTTCACGATATTGCAACCACTGATCAGTCACATTTATAAACTGTTATCAGGTATATTCCACTATTGCAGTCAACTTTTAAATTTCCCCAGAGCCTTGGAATCTTGGGTGGAAAACCAGGCGCTTCAACATATATTATTGGCGTTCAAAGTGAAAAGGCATTTTACCTTGATCCACATGATGTTAAGCCGGTATGCAGTATAATTATTCTTTAGACACTTCTGTTTTTTTTTTAAATTGTTCTATAATTATCTTTATGTATGTATATTCAGAAAAAAAATGTTTAGTTCTTAGAGGTTTACAAGTGATTTTGAGATGTATTTTGATGCATAGGAAAAACACCGTACATCACACTTAGTAGGGTTTAGGCTGTTCTTTGATAGGTGATGATTTGCATGTCACTAAGTACGTCTTAAATGGTTTTCAGGTTGTTAATATTACTGGTGATACTCAAGAGCCTAATACGTCATCGTATCACTGCAAGTAAGACTTTTAGTAACATTGATTTTCATATGTTGTCAGCTGCAATTTGTTAATTCGTATTTATATCTAACTTTTAAAATCTCCTAACAGCATTAGCAAGCACATGCCCCTAGATTCAATTGACCCATCTTTGGCTATTGGATTTTACTGCCGAGACAAAGGTTCGCCGGTTACTTTGGCATAATTTCATAAGTTGAATTGTTGCTAGGTTAATACTAATACTAAGCTTTTTGTCATCTGATATCACTCTTCAATGTCATCTGCCAGATGATTTTGACGATTTCTGTTCTCGGGCTATTAAGCTTGCTGAAGAATCAAATGGTGCACCATTATTCACAGTAGCTCAATCCAGGAGTCTCTCAATTCAAGTTACAAGTAGTTCTGTGTCAGGTGACAACACTATGTTTGACGATGATTCTCTTGGTACGAACCTCGACAATGATGCAGGCACCAATGAGGATGACTGGCAATTCCTATAAATCGTGCAATACGATATGGAGTTAAGTAGAGGACTGTTGCTTGATTCTCAAGACTATTTACCACTGGCGAGTTTGGTTGATGCTCGTCTTCATACTCGCACTCTCGAAACGTTGTTTGGTAGGGTTGTAGGAATTTAAACTCATTGTGATTCTTTGGCTTAAATTGTTTAGACATTTGTTGATACGGCTAACTAGGTATTTATTGTACATTAAACTAGTTCGTTCTTATTGGTCGGTGTATCCTTTTATTTGCTACAGAATTGTAGCGGGTATTATTTGGCAATGTTAAATAAGTTGTTGAGTAGTTCATACTTAGTATTGGACGGAGCGTTTTCTTAAAATAGAAGAGTATAAACGAAACCTGAGCCATTTAGTAGAATTTTGGTTGAAGTTTTGATACATTGCAGTTGCAGTGCCGTGGTGTATAGATTTTTAGTACTAACTGTCAAGAATACCCTAATAGGCTAATAGTTCAGACGAATCAATCTTAACTCCATCTTTAAAACAAAAGTTGAGGCACACATCATCCTCCAAGGAAAAGCAATTCAAAAAATATCGACTAGTTCAAATTAACTGAGCTACCTCTCTAATAGGGATTGGATTTTTAAACTTAGTTTAATTAGTTGACCTCACTCTTGGCTCAATTAGTTCAAATTAATTGAGCAGCCCCTCTTATATAAGAAAATTGTTTAATACACCTGATCTACCTCTCAAATTCTATGAAAATTCAAAATTACTCTTTCGCACCGTTTGGAAATTGAAATATGGACGCACCAAAATACAACAATCTGATACCCTATTGAATGTGTATTATATATGTATGCATAGGGTAAATCTGAGTTATAATTTCTTGATGCATAATTGGAACACTATTGTTGAAACATTTCATGTATATGATAATAAATAGGTGAATTTGAATTCCAATTTTCGGATACACTTTTAGAACATTATCTCTGACACATTTCCTCTTATATTTGACCAAAAAAAAAGGATTCGGATTCCAATATTCATACGCAACTTTGAGACACTATTTTTGACACATTATCTAATACATTTGTTACAAAGGGGTGAATCCAGATTCAAATCTCCAGATAACTTTGGGACAATATTTTTGATATATTTCTTAATATATTTGATAACAGATGGATGAATCCAGATTTCAATCTTAGAATACATCTTTGGGACAATATTGTTGGTATAAGTTACAATATCAACTTTGGATAACATAAATCACAAGTTGCTCATAAATCAATTTTCAATTCTAACAAAAAGTGATTTTTCATAAATCATTCACACACCGATCGTTTGCATAAACCATACATAGTTCATAGCATAATCATTCAAAATGTTTACATTAAAATACAAATTAAAATACAACTATTATGTAATATCTAACGCCCTTTCCTCATTTTTCTCTACAGTGCAAATCTTGTCTTTGACAATATCGCATCTAAAGTGCAACAATACGGTTAGATATAGGTAATACATTCATAACATGGTCTGTCTTTGCCTTGTCTTTGACAATATCGCATCTAAAGTGCAACAACACGGTTAGATATAGGTAATACATTCATAATATGGTCTGTCCTTGCCTGCTCCTATTCCAGTAACTCATGGTGAGCTGGCCTACGGAGATCACCTTGTGACACTTATGTCATATAAGGATGAGACACTTTATAAATTTATTGGATGTATCGTATATTATGCTTCATGTACAAGGGACTGATACACTAACACAAGTTCTCTAGTCAAGTGATAATATTCAATTAAATAGTAAATTGATATTTAAGAGGTTATTAATGCTTAGTCAAAGATTATTTAAGTGTAATTAGTAGAATAATTAAGAAATAATATCATTAGTAATTTTTATTTAATGACACAGACAAAAGTGACACTTTGCAATGTCACTATATAAGTCAAATTTGTGAAGAATTTCTCATTCTTCACATTTGTTTCTCTCTTTTACATTGATGGTAAGGAAGAAGAAAGAAGATATAAGGAAGAGAAAGAAGAGAAAAGGAGAAGAAGAAGAAAGCTCTCGAGGAAATGGAATCATCATCATCATCGTAATCTTCATCTCATCCCAATTCATCATCATCTTCTTCTTATGAGGTGGGTTCTTGGTTAGTATAGCTTTAGGGAAAATTTTACATGAATTTGGGTTTAGGGTTTTTATGAGTTCTTCCTTGTTTGTGAAATTGATGATTGAAACATGATTCTTGTTTTGTTTTGTGTTATTGTTGTCAAACCATGACTGGTGTCTCAACTCTGCTGCTAAGGATGTCTGCAATATATTTTACTTTATCTTTAAGTACCCATATCATTTTGGGTCATTTTTTGTTAGTTTTCCTATATTTGTTCTTAACCTGAAGTTTTTGTGCAGCATAATCATGTGTGTGCGCATAAGTGAAATGAGAGTATAAAGCTTTTGGTTTTATAGCCTTTTGTTTAGATTTAGGTTTGACCCTGGAGTGTTTGTGTAGCACATAACCAAGATTTTTTTTCATTTCCGCTTACTTCATAGATCATGGAAGTCATTTTTCTTTTGTCTATGTTTCGTGGAAGAAATTTTTTTAAAAGCCACATCATATTTCTTTATGACATCATCAAATTTCATAGGAGCTTCTAAATTTTTTTTCTTTTCAAGTTCTTTACTTTTTCTTTTTATAGTAGAGTTATATTTCTCAAAAACATGAAAAAATTTCTTTCAAACTATAATTTTCTTTCTTTAGCTCACTAAGGGCTTCACAGTTAGCTACATGAATTATTTTGAGATCCTCGTGTCTATTCTAAAGACTTTGAAACTTTTCAAGAATTTCAGTGAGACATGACTCAACTTCAGAATGAGTAAGATTAGAGAATACCTCATTTGAGCATGAATCTGATTCGGATCTAGAGTCAGATTGTAACACCCCAATTTTTTAGAATATTTTATTTAATTTATTTAAATATGAATATTCGTATTTTTGGTGTTTTTCGGAGGTTGGTGTGAAATATGGAGAATTATGGATTTTGAGTTATTTATTTAAATAATAGTATATAATATGAATTATTATTATTATTATTAATTTAAATAAATATAAGTTAACTAAGGGCAAATTTGACAATTAAGAGGAGTTAGTGAGGGTAATATTGAAAAAGGCCAAATTATAGGCCGAAGGTTAGGTTTAACAAAAAGGGAATTGTGACGGGATTAAGATTTATTTTGTTAGACCATGGAAAGAATTGAGGTCAGAGCTCTGAGGAGGTGGTTTGAGACAAAAGCTTCGAAAGGTTTTCTGAAAGATTCGAGAAGGCTTAGAGTCGACAATTAAGGTATGGGGAGTACTACCTTCATTATTTTTAATGTATAATTTTAATATATTTAAGGCCGATTTAAGGGTTTGAGGTTGATTTTGGGAAAAAAGGGAATTAGGCCTTCGTGGCCAAATTCTATTATTGAGATTTTAATCGTAGGGATTTGAACTATGGTCCGATAGGTTCGAGGTCGATTGGGTTTGAGGGAAAGTAGGCCTTCGTGGCTGAAATTTGTTGTTGAGGTTGTGTAACCCTTATGATAAGTGATTTGTGATACCTCTGATGATTGTGGGGGCAGTTTAAGGAAATTATGGGAAATTAGTGCATGAATATGATACAGGATTGGCCTAATAAGTAGTAGACTTGGTGCCTTTATCGCCGTAAAACCTTAGGGATGTTTTGGGGGCATTGGGGAAGTGAATCGTGGGACTTTTGGGTTGATTTTAGGTTCTGGTGCGTAACAGCATTTTGTTGTAATCGCGTGTTTGCACAGAGAACAATATTCGTCCCAGACTCGCACTGCGAAGAATCCTTCGCACTGCAAAGAAACTCACCCCAGACTTGCACAACAAACTTGCCAGTGAACGTAGCAGAGTTTCGCGAATGCTGATTTTGTGCAGTGATGCATTGATGTTTTGATGTTGTGATTTCTTTGGCGAATTAATATGAGTATGACTATGAGTTTTATGTGATTTGTACATTATTATATGATGATTTCTATGATGTAATGATTGATGAACTATGATGATATTCCCATGAGTTTTGATGATTCTATGATGACATGATATGTGATGATGGTGTAATGATGATGAGCTATGATAATATTTCCATGAGTTTTTGATGATTCTATGATGACATGATATGTGATGACGAGGTAATAATGATGAGATATGATGATATTTTCATGAGTTTTGATGATTCTATGATGACATGATATATGGTGATGATTAGTGATGATGAACTATGATGATATTCCCATGAGATTTGATGATTCTGTGATGACATGATATATAATGATGATTGTGATGATGATGATTATGATGAATGATGATGTACCTATGATGTTATTATAAGGATGATTTTTGACGTGTGCATCATGCATTCATGTGCATCCGGACTTCGGTTCAGGACCTTGATTTCTTTGGCTTCAGTCCCATTGTGCGGATGTGAGGTATTTTGATGTGCTCCGGTTCTCGAGTAGAATCGATCCTATTGATGGGGATCTATGGAGGGTTGATGGCCCAGTGTCTATCGAGCTGTGATGATTGGTACCACGTGCATTGAGTCTTGTTGCATTTGCATTTATGAGATGATCTTGAGTAAATTATGATGTTGTGACTTTGATGTCCATTGATGAATATGATGATGTTGAATATGAAAATGACGCCATTTTATGTATTGATTTCCTACATTGATTATTATGAATAGTTTTACTCGCCCTGCCTGTTTGAATGTTGCCTCCATGTGGGTAATATGCAGATGACCAGATTTAGCCGTGGATGCAGTCAAGGATCTTTTTGGAGTTTTTGAGTTGTTGGCCATTTTGGTTAACTTAGAGGGTCTTGCTCTGATAGTGTAACATCGGGTTGAGATCTTAGGGTTAAACCATGATTTATTTTGATTTATTTATTTTGATTATTTTCCCGTATAAGGAAAACTTTGAATTATGCCTTTTGAGTTTCGCTGCAATTTTTGATATCTTTTGGGAAAACCCGTTGTTTACGGAGCTTTGACTTATACTTGATTTATTGAGAAATGTACGCCCTTTGAGGTGATTTTTATTGAGTTTAATATTTTACTTTGATAAATGTGAATATTTTGCCATTAAATTGTGGGGTAGAAAAGAGTGTTACACATATGCTTTTGAGCTAGCCATCAGTGCCATGTGTGCATGCTCTTATTCATAGTTATCCTCTGAAGCTTCTGAGTCATCCAGGTAGCCTTAAAAACCTTCTTATTTTCTCTGGAGATTTTTCTTTTTAGAATAAGTTTGGGACACTTATTTCTGTAATGCCCAGGCTGCTTGCACTCAAAACATGTGACTTCTTTGTCAGCTTGAGACTTCTTCTGCTTAGAGGTTGACTCAACATGTCGACTTGTTGTTCTATGCCTTATGAACTTCACCCGTCTTTTCTTCTAGAGTTGGTTGACCCTTCTGGAGAGGAGAGACAACTCATCTTCTTCTTTTGAATTTTCTTTAATCTCGTCTTCTTCATCTTGAAGAGCTTTAGCCTTTTCAAATTTATCTTTGGATTTTAGATCCATAAACTTGCTTTTTTTTCCCGAGGCTCATCTTCCTCTAGTTCAATCTCATGACTCCTCATAGAGCTTATAAGTTCCTCCAAATTTGTGTTATTTAGATATTTTGACATCTTTAGTGTTGTCACCATTGGTATCCATTTCTTAGACAAGCTTCTATTGATTTTTTTATATGATTTAAAGTGGTATAACCTTTGTTTAGGACATTCAATCTAGCTATAAGAGTTTGAAATCTCGAGAACATTTCCTCAATCATTTCATTCTCTTCCATTTTAAAAGATTCATATTTCTGGATTAAAGCCAAGACTTTAGTCTCTTTAACTTGCTCATTTCCTTCATGATTCATTTTTAGAGAAATAAATATAGACTTAATAGAGTCATTATTTGTCATCTTTTCATACTCAGAGTATGAAATAACATTCAACAATATAGTTCTGGATCTATGATGATTCTTGTGATCCTTCTTTTGCTGATCATTCATTTTGCTTCTATCAAGCTTAGTGACATATGTATTTACATGATGTGTGTAACCATATATTACCACGTCCCATATATCAACATCACAATATATGAAAAAACTTTTAATTCTATCTTTTCAATAATCGAGTTTTTCTCCATCAAATATTAGAGGTCTTACAAAATAATGATCTTTATCATTGTTTGCATTTGCTCTACTGTGTTTCTAGATAATGGATCTTTATCTTACACGACTAAGTGTTGGACACAAAGAGTCAAAAACCAAAACCAGAGCTCTAATGCCAATTGAAGGTGCAAGAAGCACAAGAAATGGGGGGGGGGGGTGTTGAATTGAGCTTCTGAATAGAAAATTTTTTTCCACCCAATATATCAAACAGAAAGGATAATGATAAATATAAGAGCACAAGTCTTTTTATCATAGTTCGGTGTTCATGAAGCTACGTCTAATTCACCCGCCCGAGTGATTTCTCCTTCTAAATAAGAACTTAATCCAATAATCAATCTGATTACAACAAACTCAAAGACACATAATCTAAGACTTCTTGAGAAATTATGACTACACCCTAGTCTCTCAAGAAAAACAACTTCAAAAAGACTAATCGTCAATGACTTCTTGAGAATCCTGAATACAAACAATCTCTCAAGGAAATTAATCAAAGTTAATATAACAAGTTTTGTGTTTACAATATGCTTCAACAAGAAGATGCACAAGTTTAAACAAAATATTACACTTAACAAAAAATTTCAAAGAGTTTATGCTCTAAGTGTATAAGTGTGAGAAACACTCCTTATTTATTCTTTTCACGTAGTTCTCTTTTGAGTTTATGCATTGATATGAAAATCAATTCATACACACATGCGTTTTCCAATCTTCAGGGACCTCTTTATATGGAAGCAAATAGATTCGTTAGAGGATGAAGTTGAAATATCCTTAATGTATTCGTTGTATGAAGATCACTTCATATGCAACAATAAAGTGGCGCTTGCAGCAGATAGTTGACGAGAATTATGGGATGTGAGAAGCTTCTTTAGTACAAAGTACAATACTTTATATAGAAAGTAGAATTGTTTTTGTACTTCTATCACATCAGTCAGACGTTAACCTTTTGATACAAAACTTCTAGTCAGAGACTTCTAATATAATTTGATGATGCTTTAATAGAGTTTAAAGTTTGTCTTCAAAGCCTGGTGAGCCTTTCAGAGTCTTTGGAGAATTGGGTTTTGAGACTTTCAGAAGCTGATAATCATAATCTTCATCAGAGTCTATCTGGATGGTTTCTGAATAGAAACATTGACTAGATAAATCAAGATTAACTTAACGCTTCAGAGTTAACTCGACATATCAGAGTTGACATATTTGTAAACACGCATTTAAGTTTATCCTTTGGTTTAGAGTTCGAACGTCTTCAGAGTCTGAATCTGAATTCTATTTTCTGCACACTTAGCAAAATAGTTAGAGTACAACATTTTTCTATACACTTTGTTATCATCAAAACCCAATGATAGTTGCAGAATCAAACTTATTCCAACAATAGAGATATCATTAACAAACACAAACACATTGACGAAAATAATAACAGGCACAAAAATCTGGATTTAGTTTTCTGTGTTAGGGTTCAGATTTTGAAATTTAGATTTTCATAGGGGGTGAATATGAACTTTAAATTTGGATTTTCTCGTATTAGTGAAAAACCCCAACAATCACTTTACAACCCTAATGCAGAATGATTCAGACAAAGAATGTAACATAATGTAGCTTAAGTAGTTTCTAACATAATGGACTTTAACTATAATCATTTAAGGAATTGCATTGCATGCATCAAAAGTAGAAAAAACAAGAACCAATGAGAAACTTATCAAACGAGAGAGATGAAATTGTTTGTCTTGAATGAAGAGGAGTAAAAGTTGATGAAGTTATTTGGTTTGAATGAACAATAATAAATATTCAGAGAAAATGTTAAACCCAAATTTGTGAGAGCTTTGGTGTTCTTGAGAAAAACAATTTTTTATTTATTTGAAATGTAAGAGATCTTGAAATTGTTTTTGTTGTTTGAACATGATTTTTACTTGTCTTTAGAGTGGTTTTGATATTGAGTTTGTAGTATTATGGTGCTTTCGAATTTTAAAATTTAAATAATGCAAAAGAGGTATTTTTAATTTTTACTATGATGAGTGAATAATAATATTAGGTGTAAAATGTATTATGATAAAAATAAACATGAGAACAGAGAAAGGATCACACAAAGACAAAAAAAAAATGATATAAAGGTGAAGATCAATTTATCTGATATTAATCACCTACACAATATGATGATCACATAGGTTGATAATCGGCCGAGTCGAGATTTATTTAAATAGTTAGATTTAATTTAAAAAATTAAAGTTTAAGTTTGAGTGTGATTTTTCAAAAGTATAATTTGATTTATTATCCTATTTAAAAATCTAATTTTATTGAGAATTAAGAAAAAAACATTTAACATACTTTCAAAAAGATTAATGGGAAATCAATTTCATATTTTCTGTCAAAATTTTATTTTATTGAATTTTTATTTGTTAATATAGATTGGTCTAATGATTTTTTTAATGATCTAAATGTGACTTGTTTAAATAAATAGTTTTTTTTTTTTTTTAAGATGATGAGAATTAGGCATTTAACATAGGACACTTTTTTTTCTTCATAAAGAAAGAAGTGATATTTTTAGCCATTGATATATTATTATTTCATTTTGACAGCTGTGATTGATTATTGATTATATATTATTAGATTTTAATTTTTAAATACTTAATGTTTTTTATCTTAAATTATATATTTTTAGTTAATCTAAAAAATTATATTTAATATTTATCTTCTTCATCTTTAAATATTCTTCTTTTTCATCTTCAAACATAGGAATATTAATCTTTTATATTTTTAGTCAATATTAATCTTTTAAAAATCGAGATTTATATCCTAGATATGCTATCATAGGAATATGTGTTGAATTTGTGTGATGAAATTTTAGATTTGACATTCATATTAAAAAAAAACATTTGTCTTCAAATCTAAATTCATCATCATTTTCAAATTCAGTTTCACTAGCATCTTCATCTTCTAACATCTTTAAAAACTCAAATTTATCAGCATCTTTATCTTTTATCATTTATAAAAATTTAAATTTAGTCATCTCATATCTACAGTTTTTTTTTGTGTGTGGTTAAGTTATCAATATAAAACGGTGAACTTATAAATAAAATATCAAATTTGAGATTTATTTTGGCACAATAAAATTTTGTACTTAACATGTTGTAGTAATAGTGAAATTAAATCGTGAAATTTGAATTTTCTTTTGACTTAAATTAACATTTTTAGAAAAGTTAAAGAAATTCCTATAAAAATAGTTAAAGAGATCACGTTGGACTTTAAAATAAATTAAGGACATAAAAACTTATTTAAATATTTTTTCTCTTCAAATGGAGCAGCTAGTTTTCCATAAATTATCTATTATTTATTTATTTATCAAACTATTGTTATTATTATGATGGAAAGTGTGACTAAAAGAGAAAAAAGTTTGATAGCATCTTCCTCTTCACAATTCACAACGATGGCAATACTTTTTTACTGATGAATAGCTGAATGAATCACTCACCGACAACTATTTAGCAACAAATATCTTTCTTTTCTTTTTCTGATTGTATCGCTATCATCATCATCACGATCAATCAAGCAAACTCTGAGGTACACCAAATCCGCTCATTCCCTTTATTTCCATATCCCCGTCTGGATCCCAAAAAACAAAAACAAAAAAGTCTGAAATTTCTGAACTCAATCTTGTACAATGTACTCCAAATCATTGTTTAGTGTTCATGTGATTTTCCTTCTCTTGCAGATTCGTTTTCACAAAAAATGGATCCATCGGCGTTGCTGTATGACCAGCTCAAGGTTCGTGATTTCTTTCTGATTATGAGTTTCTCGAATGTGAATTTTTGTGGGTCATAGTAAAAATGCGATTTTTTTTGTTTTTACATTTGATGGGTTGTGTTTGTTTGAATCCACTAGGCTGCAGACCCGTTCTTCCTGTTGGCAGGTCCCAACGTGATTGAATCAGAAGAGCACATTATGCGGATGGCTAAGCACATCAAAACTATTTCATCTAAGTATGTTATTTCTTCCTAAATTTGAAGTAAGAGACTCTTGAATCTTGATTTGATCTATTATTAGTGTAGACGTTTTCTATCTTGTCGTCATTCAAAAAGTTATATGATAGTAACTACTTGAGTTGATGTCATTATCTTTAACATGAAAAGTACAAGCTTGCATGGAAGTTGGTTTTATCATTAATGGCAGATAACATGATCTTGAGTATATATGTATCTTTCAGATTTGGAATTCCGTTGGTTTTCAAATCAAGCTTTGACAAAGCTAACCGGACTTCTTCAAAATCGTTTCGTGGCCCAGGGATGGTTGAGGGATTGAAGGTTCATATTTCTAATACTAAATTGCCATAACATAAGATAGTTTTGTTGTTTGCATCACGCGGATCATAGTTGTTATAAATTATAATTATCTGATAACATGTGACTACTGGTTTTGTAGAATGTTTTCATGACTTCTGTTATGTTCAATATGAAATTGCTAGATATTGATTCAACCCCAAAACCTAGTTCAGAGGGATAGGATCATCCAAGTTGCTTTTAATTATAACGGTTATCTTGGCCAAATATCAGCCAATATGGGAGCTTAACATTGTACTTGATATCAGTGTTATCAAATAGCGGCACCATGGCCGCTATGGTGGATATACATGGCGGCTTTTAGGCTCACCGCAATGGTAAACATTGGTCGATATTGCGGGTTTTTCCGCCATAATATGTTATAACGGTGCCGCGAAGCGGCCATTATGGTGGGATTTTGGCTCTCCGCCATCGACAACACTGCTTGATATTGTTTATGGCTTCACTTATCCCTAGAGGTTTTTGAGTCAAATGCTATTGGAGGAAGGATCTGCACTCCTAATGGTAGGATCTTTAGAAATGTGTTTCCCTCGTAAAGATTTGCATGATTATAAAATAGTAGTGCTTCAATAGGTCAAGTATCATCTATTGCAGTCCTAGTTATTTCTTTGGCCAAAGCGGAAAAAAAATACACTGACTAAGACTAGGAAAATTTCAAACCATCTTGTAGTATGAGGAATTATGACCTTTAATGGTGGTTAGCACTAGTATGTTTGTTTGACATGTAAATTGCTTCATAAAAATGTCGAACTAGCTTACTTAATTTTTCTTTTTTCTCCCTCAGATACTTGAGAAGGTTAAAATAGCGTATGACCTTCCTATAGTGACAGATGTGCACGAGGCCAGCCAGGTAAAAGTCATTTTACTTTTCCAAAATATAAGATTGTTGGTTTCACATTTTTGTGCGTGTCTAGAATTCATATTCTATATAACCTTATTTCCCTCGACAAGACTCCCATACAGTGGTATTTTTGGCTTACCAATCTGACTAGTTTGGTCTTAATTATGCATTGTTTGAAGGGATACCATTACGCATTTGTCGATTTTAAAGGAAGAAAGTTGGACAAGGTTTTCGTTAAGTCATGCTTAGACAAACGGAATTGCTACACAGATATAATTAAATGAAATAATTGATACCAAGATTTTATTAAATACTTATATGTTTTTTCCTCACACACATGTTAGTAGAGTAGAAGACTCATGAGTCGTGACCAAAGGAATCCGTCTGTATAGGAACAATAACTAGAAAGGAATTCATATTCTATAGCCTTGTTTCCCTCATCAAGACTCCCATACAGTGGTATTTTTGGCTTACCAATCTGACTAGTTTGGTCTTAATTATACATTGTTTGAAGGGGTACCGTTACGTATTTGTCGATTTTAATGGTTTAGACAAACTGAATTGCTACACAGATAAAATTAAATGAAATAATTGATACCAAGATTTTATTAAATACTTATATGTTTTTTCCTCACACATGTGAGTAGAATAGAAGACTCGTGACCAAAGGAATATGTCTATATAGGAACAATAACTAGAAAGGGATTTTAATAGAAAAAGTGATAATCACAGAAAAAAGGACTCACACGAAAGATAGGAATGTTGTATTATTCAATGATGAATGAACTCAGCTAGGAATGAAAGTTCCTAAGCTTCTAAGAGCAATGCTCCTACAGAGAATCTATTCTCTACCCAAACAACCAGCAACTAACTTCTGGATACTATCTCTCCTCACTCTCCACCCATAAGATACACTCCCACAACTCAGGCTCATTCAGTTACAACAACTGTCAGCTCATTATTCTCTCTGCGTTCCGTGCCCTTCATCACATTCACCCTTCACATCCTGGAATTAACATCAGTACCCCCATCTAGGCCCATTTCCCTTTCAATACCTCAGCATAGAGACACAGACTTGTCCTTAAGTCGTAGCTGAGGAATTTGCCCTTGAATGTTGAGTTTATCCTCCCATTTCGCATCTTCTACACCCTGTCCTTTACACTGAACCAAGATTTTCTGAACAGAATAGCCTCCTTGCATCACTATCCCGTGAGACAACACTGCCACAAGTTCCACCCATATATTGTATCAATATTCCGCCTATGGTAACCACTGCTCACACTGCTTGGGTTGATCAGCAATGAAACAACTAAGAAATGTCTCCAGACACCGGTTAGCGGCATCATCCGTTTGTCCATCTGGTTGAGGAAGGTACGCGGTTCTCATTTTCAATCTGGTACCTTGCAGCAGCGTGAACAATTCTTTCCAAATGAAACTCACAAAGATAGGGTAGCAGTCACTGAATATTGAAGCGGGGATTCCTTGCAACTGCACTACCTCCTTAGTAAAACTTTTAGCCAACAATTTAGCAGAATAATGATGTTGGAGAGGGAAAATTCAATTTGTTCATTACCACCATAATAGCCTCATAACTTTTGAATTTTAACAATCTGGTGATAAAATCCATGCAAGTCTCTTCCCAAATATGCTCAGGAATACCCAGAGGCTGTAGTAGACCCTCCGAAGCAGCAGCCAAGTACTTTTGTTTTGGCGTTGAGAAACGTCACAAGCTTTTATGAACTGCTGGAAAGAATTGGTCATCTGAACCAAATATGTTAGCCGCTACACATTGATAAGTCAGTAATAACTTGAGTGTCCTCCTTGAGGAGTAGCGTGAAACCCCTTCAATATTCATGGGATACCTGAGGATTGTTCAGACACCACCAGCCTCCCTTTGAACAATAGTCCCCTCTTTGTAGCTGAATCCTTTGTGTTTTTTCGGACCTTCTTTCATAGCTTGAATGATGCGAATTAGTTTTACATCTTAGTGAACCTCATCAATAATGTTTTGACTCCCCTCCCAGACTGGTTTGGAATAACTGCACGAGTACACGTATTTCCGCTCCTTTGTACAGCCTTGACTGGGCATCAGCTCCTTTGTTCTCCAAGCCTGGCTTGTATACGATATCACATTGATTAGCGATAAGACACGAATAAAGTTTATAAAGAGAGACATTCCTCACCTTACAAGCCTGTTTTGTAAGGATGAGTTTGACCCAATACAAAAACTGAATATTTTTCTTAACAATTGGCTTATACCTATTTGAATTTTAAAACCAGTGGTTAGTACACATCTTAATTGATAATTTCATAATATATGAATTGATCATATTAAATGGTTGAATAAATTTTTCCAACAAATACCTGCATGGGGAGTGCGGCAATAATATTTCAGATTCTGACTCCTGATCTTCCTTTAACACGTTTATCTTTTCTTTGGCCAGTGTGAACCAGTTGGCAGAGTTGCAGATATCATTCAAATTCCAGCATTCTTATGCCGCCAAGTAAATATTGTTCACATGCAATTTCACTATTATCATAGTTGTATCATTACTATCAAATTTAATAAATGTGCCAACATTTCGTTTAATTTGCTTCTAATGACAGACAGATCTTCTAGTTGCAGCAGCCAAAACTGGGAAGATTATCAATATCAAGAAGGGCCAATTCTGCGCTCCTTCTGTTAGTATTTCCAATTTCATTCCTCACAAATTTATGAATTATTTACAATAACTTAAGCTTCAGAATGAACGTTCCCTGTTTTTAGCATTATTATTTATATGATTCTTAATTTTCATTCATATAGGTCATGGCAAATTCAGCGGAAAAGGTTCGGTTAGCTGGAAATCCTAATGTGATGGTTTGTGAGAGAGGAACAATGTTTGGCTACAGTGAGTTGATAACTTCTTTTTTGAGATCTTCTGTATGTTTTTCAACTTCTGAACCTTTATGCAGTATTGCATGAGGTGTTTTAACTAAGAAAAGACCTTAAGTGATGCTAATTATTTCTCTGTCCCAACTCAGAACAAACCTTTTTATGTATGAGGTTGAACTTTGCCTTAAAATGTCAATCATGAAATCAATTTCCCTTTGTTTTTCTGATTGATTAAATTATTTTCCCTTTTTATATAGATGATTTGATTGTTGATCCACGTAATCTGGAGTGGATGAGAGAAGCCAATTGTCCTGTTGTAAGTAAATATTTCTTTTATAATACCTCTCTCTACCTATTTTCTGGAAACTCAAAATTATCGTATTTTCTCTCAGGTAGCTGATATAACGCACTCGCTACAACAACCTGCCGGAAAGAAGGTTTGTTTTATATTGTTGATTCCCATGTTTATCGAATATTGATAACTCTTGGTTGGACTAACATGATAGTTTCATCTATAGTTGGATGGAGGAGGTGTTGCAAGTGGAGGTCTTCGAGAACTAATACCTTGCATTGCAAGGACATCAGTTGCCGTTGGAGTGGATGGAATCTTCATGGAGGTACAAAGAGTTAGTTAGTCCTGTTATCATTTGCTAGTTTTGTTATTAACCAAAGTAGTTCGTTCACCCTCGGGGTAAAATTCCAAAATATATTCACCATGCTTGTCACTCCAAAAGCTACTATTTAAAGAGTTTCTTGTGTTTTCAGGTGCATGATGATCCATTGAATGCACCTGTAGATGGCCCAACACAGTGGGTGAGTTGTTGCTTATTATCATAGATCTTCAAATTTTTAAACACCATTTCCTCAACATGTGTTTTCCTTTGGATGCTGCTCTATATGTTTATTATCAAATATTGTTTAATAACATTTATACAAAATCCTCTTATTCAATAGCCTTTGCGCCACTTGGAGGAGCTACTTGAAGAACTCATAGCTATTTCTGTAAGTTGTTGCTTGAAACTTATGATTTTACAAGTGGAAATACATTTGCTTTTCAGCGTTAAAGATAAAATCAATTTGAAATTTTCTGTTTTGCTTTGAGTTTTGAGTATGTATATTTGATTTAACTCGATCTTGATTAACTGTAGAGGGTAAGCAAAGGGAAGAAGCCGTTTAAAATCGATCTCACACCATTTCATGAATAAGAATAATGGTAAGAATCAATTTTCTTTGTTCAAAATTGAAAGGAAGTTCTTAGAACCATCTAAAGGATTTAAAAGCAAATATTTTGCATCAACATGAAATATCCTAAAAAAAACATATGCTTGATTTGGATCTATTGGTGAAGAGTTGAAATGAAATCTTGAACATTCAAGTATAAATGCTTGCACCCCAAGTTTTAATGTTTTTTTTCTCTCTGTAGGTGATGGTTGAGTTGTTCTGAATATAATTAATTCCCTGAGCGTTTTCCAAGATTGAATGCAAAAGTGCCTCCATCTCATGGCACAAGTTCAAGTGCCTTAGAAGAGGGTTTATCCTAAAAAAATGTTGTTTGATGATTCATGATTGTTTCTCCATGTAGTGGCTCCACCAACTGATGTTTGCCACTGATTATGTGTAGCCTTAATTGTGTCAGTATAAAATATTTAGGTATATTATTGGTTATTTGCTAGGTACATTTTTTAAAAACAAATGGGGTGCAGAAAGATATGCAATGCAATATACCCTAAATTGATTAAAAATAAAAACGAACAATACCATTGAGGGACATAGAGCTTGATCCAGAAAAAAAATGTTAAAGCAAATTAGTAATCCAAAGACAGATAGATAGCATCCACACATCCATTACGTGTAAAATCTAGCCAATCCATACAACGCAAAATCAACCAAGGATAGAGAAAGAAAGCCTGCTCTTTGGTAGATTCAAAGTATATGCTAGAAGTAGACACCACTTTATTAGTAAGCTTTGATTCTTATGTCTCTAGCTTCTAAGGGTCAGTGTGGTTTACCGAAGGGGGAGGAAAATTAATAGAGAGGGAGGTATTTTAATTAAGGGTCTTGTTAACCGGTGCCCTCAGGACATTATTTAAACATTTCATATTAAGAAATTATTCTTTAAAAAATTCAAACACTTCAATTTTCAATGCACATTATTAGGCATCATTGCACATACTTTTATAAAAACTTATTATTTAAAGTTTTAAAAAGTGCCCTGAGGACACTGGTTAGCATTTCCCTTTAATTAAATATATGTTTTGTTTAAAGAAGTGGAGAGGAGAGACTTTTAACTACTTATATGTTTGGTTCACGAGAGAAGATGAGAGATTTTAAAATTAAATTATATTTTTATACTTACGAGACATTTGAACATAATTGGAAACAACAACACATATTAGTTGAACTATAGCTTTTCTATGCAAATTAAATTATTTGTTAATAACAATTCTTTGATAGTTTATATAACTAAAGAGGTAAAATAATATTATAATGTTAAAAAAATGTACAAGTAATGTTAGAATGTTCACTTTTTTTATCACAAATTACATCTTAAAAAATTCATAATTTTTTTTATCACAAATCACATCTGAAAATTATGTGTTCTTCAATTGATTAGTCTTTCAATATACATATTATCCATAATGTCTACTACCTAGTCAGATAGATATGAATCATCTTATATGTGAAAATAATTGAACTTTTATTATAATTTCTATCCTACGAAAAACTATTTGCTAACACATATGATTAGGACAAAAGTTTAACATATAATTCCTAATCCTATAAAACCATATAATTCATAATTCTACGAAATCATATAATTCATAATCCTACGAAAGTTTTTTGTAAATGAAATTAGTACTAAAGTTTAACATATAATTCCTAATCTTAGAAAAAATTATTTGCAATTAGTACATGTCATTCAGTTTGGTCTACATAACATAAAAAAATTGGAAGAGATCAAAAAATAAGGACAAACTTGGAATTAAAATAAATAATTAAAGATAAACTAGAGTTATTCTTTTCTTGAGATCTCTCCCTCTGAATCCCCCCATTTTAAAGGGGAGCAAAAAGTGAGTCTATGATGGATTTTGCTCCTCTCCCATCCCTCCCCTTATAAAAAATAAACCAAACAAATATATTTAAAAACATACCCTCTCATCCCCCTTCATATACCCGCAACCAAATAGACTCTAATGGCGAAGGATGGTAGAATCCAGGGGTTCCTACAAGGAATCCTTCTCATTTGACGTCTCCTTCAACAGGGAAAAAACCCTTTTCCAGCCTCTGAGCCTTCATACTGGGAGAATTTAGGGTTGATCCTCAACTTGCCTCTTTTTGCCCATGATATTGAAGCCTTCTGGGTGACTCTATGGGATATTAGTCTTCCCGCAAATAATCTGGATCTTATTCTATCTTCTTCTCATCTCCTCAATAGAAATCCTCATTATCTGATCTACAAAATAATGCACATAGGTCACAAATGCTGTCTGAAAATACCTACAAGAGAAAATAGGGTATTCAAGAACTTACCTAAGTAGACGTCAAGATGATTATTGTCCTCCAACCATAATTTAATTACGAACATGTGTCAATAATTTCAAACTTCCCCAAGAGGCAAACAATCCTTGTCTCCTCAAGGGTAAGGTACTCCTTGTCATATCACGTGATCGCCACAGGTTCACTCGTCCAAGACAGGGGGACAATGGGGCACCACAGCCCCTAAAACTCAAAGAGAATCCCCTCGCCCCCTCACACGGGCAAACTTGTCCTTCTAATTTTTATAATGATTGAAGTGAGATGCAAAAAGGGCCTTCCCTGGAAGACCACATAAAGACATTCAGCTACCCTTCACGTGCTTGGTGGTGTAAAAGGAGAAAAAGACTCCTACAGGGAGTAACCTCTATATCTTCACATACCATCTCAAAAGCCTTGATAAAGTCTCAACTGTTAGGAAACTGTTGTGTGGGCGCAATGTGGAGAACCCTCATAAACTCCATAGAAGAAAGGGAAATGAAAAAGAACTCACATATCCTTGATAAAGGGAAGGTAGAAGTAAAAGTAGGGAGATAAAGGCTTTGAGGAGACAGGCGTGGTCACCCTCTCTGACGGTGAACATGTCTCCACAATAACTGTCTCCTCATCTTCTAAGGAGGAAATTTTCACTCTTGTTCAGAAATGGAGGATCTGCTCGTCAGAAGTATAATAAGGTCCAATGTCCTCTACATCCTTGCGCATGATGGAAGGGACAACCATTGTCTTTTTATCTTGGGAAAACAACACAACAAAAAGAAATCACCATCATCATCGCAATCGTTAAAGGGGATGATAGTAACCCCCTAAATCTACAGATCCTACGTTAACCCAAACCTCATTTAGAACATTACTACATAAGCTCTACTCATTACAAAGTAGAGAAGAAAAAGGGAAATTTATACCTAGAAAAAGGATGTGGGCGAAGAATCAAGGATGTAGAAGAGTTGTGCAGTTCAGGTGAGCTTGTAGAAGTCGGGGGAGAAAAATAGAACAATGAAGTGGAAGGGGAAAATTTTATAAGGAATTTAAAAATACAAAGGACCTTTTAGCCTCCCCTACAAATTTGAAAATCTCAACACACTTCTGACATGTGGTACAACACCCTAATTTTCCCAACTCTTTAACTAAACAAAATTACATGAATACTTTAATCTAAAAAGGTGTTACACATTCTCATCAATCATTTTCCTCATCACAACATTTATTAGGCAGCAAAATAAACTTCAAAATCTCAAATAATTTATTTATTTATATCGACATTGAAAACTCAATGATAATAACTCGAACATCTTGAAACACATAAAATGTAACAAAATTAACTCATCCCCAATGTCCACAACTCAACACATAACAACCATCAATTCATGATTACATGATTGTTCAATACTTATCTCACAAGAATTATCACAAGTAAGAATACTCCTCACATTTTCATGTACATGTTTTAACCTCTGAATCATTATTATAAGGTAGTATTACGCATCAGCTGCCCAACGCTTCGAGTCGTGCCTTAAGCAGAGTCACGAAACTCAAGTTGTGATGAAAATAATATTTTAACCTAATTTGCCTTCCTGATTCGAAACAAGTGTAAATTGTGATTCAAATCAAATTAGGCTTGCCCAAAAGGCTATGATTTGAATAAAAAATCAGTGTAAACCTCTGATTCGAATCAAATTAGTCTGAATTATTTTTCTGCATAATTTTCATGAGAATTTCACTTATAAGCTCAACTTCTTCAACATAGACCTATCCCAACTTCATTTTTGAACATGAGTAACCACGCCTACTCATATAACATCCAACACATCAATTTCCACACTGATTTGGCATATTAATATCGATTTATCACATAATTCGACATGCTCTTTATCAACGCATGAACATCATCATCATAAAATCTCTCATAGAAATTTATCATGCAATTTCACATCTAAGTAACACATAACATATTTCACACAATCAAAATCAATAACACATCAATCAATTATGGAGGTTTTGCATAAATCTCACATAATTCACAAAACCCTCATCAATGAAGTACAAGGGAGAAAGGGAAAAAGATAGGGGTAAGGATCCCCATCTATTCTACAAGAATAAGCACCCTTATCATAAAAAGCCTCCCTCCTACCTCAATTACGCGATAATGCTTTCAACTTTGACAATGAAATCTCAACATTCTCACTCTTGCTCTACTAGGCTTTTTTCTCCTATCTGACATCTTTTCTCACAATTTCATGTATTTGAGTTTTTCTACCCCTCTATTCTAACTTATAAAAGTCCTTATTTTTATTTTTATTCCAAATATCATTTTACTCCCTTCACCCTCCTTAACTTTACATTCACCCTTTACTTCACTCAAACTCCAAATTACTACCCCAACTCATATTTCTTATTTCTCTATGATTTTAAATAATTAGCTAAAACCTAAAATACCAATTTCTCCCACTCCCATCAAATGACAATCATGTATTCTGCCAAGTCAGCCTGTAAATTTTACATTACTTATATGATTTGGCAATTTAAAGTATTTTGATTGGATGTATGTGTAATATTTTTGTACACTGACAATGCACTACCATTAAACTCGAATAAATAATTAAATAAATGAAAAATTCAATTAAATAATCAATTAAAAATTTGGGGGGTTATAACTCTCCCACATTTAAGGAGT